TAGCTACTAATTTTTAAACTACCAATAAAGATACGAGCAAGGCCTCACCTTAATACCAAAAAAAAAAAAAAAAAATTTAGTACAGAAGCATTGGACTAACTATATTTTAATAATGTCTAAATCTGTATTTTATATAGCTTATTCAACTAACAAATATGTTAAGATAGGAATAACTTATTGGATAAAACATGATCTAATATTAGACTTTCAAAATTGTATAAGTATAATTGCCTAATCAAAATAAGTAGATGTCTAGATAAGATTATTAATACATTGACAATTTCTTTCAAGAAAGATATTATTAGTATTAGAAGAAAATTATAATATAGGCAGTAATTTTGAAATTAGCTAATAACAAGAACTAAGACATTGTAATACAAATTATAAAAAGTAATAATAGAATACTAAAAAAGTATAAAGATTGTATTTTTTTATTTAACTAGTTTTAAAAAAATTATAATAGTAAGTTTCATAAAATACAATATAAAAAAAAGGTATTCACCTACTTCATCTGATTCAAAAAGAAAAAACTATAAAAAAAATCAGAAAAAAAGTAAAAGATCTTTTTTTTTATAAAAGAAGCATTTATAAAACTACTAATCATTAAAGAGGTTTTACTTATTCCAATTATAAAAGTTTTGAGCATATTGCCTCTAGTTGTTTTTTTTTAAAAACCTTACTCAAAACCAAAAACTAAAATTGATTACACTTAAAAAAGAACAAAATAATAAACTAAAAATCAGTTATAGAAAGAATTAATCAGTAAAAGCATTGCATTACTAAAAACACAAAATAGATTTTTTATCAGTAGTTATAGATTAGTTGAAGAATAGTGTTCTATTATATTCAAGAGAGGTGTTAGTGCTTGCAATAAAATTAGTTTCAAAGCAATACAACTTATCAATAAAATAATAAAAATAAATAAAAAAATAATTAAATTGGCTAATATAATTATCAACAATAAAATATTTGAGATGTTTAATAAAGAGACCTAAATTTCCCTTAGAAGTCAATTCAGTTTTTTTAGTATCCAAAAAAAAATTTTAAGAAATAGATAATAGTTATAGATATAAGATATTTAAACTTGACTTTTATAGAGAAAAGAGTTTGTTTAAAGAATTTAGAAGGTATTTTTTTAAAATTCAAGTCTTAAAAAATTGATATTATTACAGAATTCTTTCTTTTAAACAGTTTGAATTTTTTCAAAGATCATAAAAACAGTCATAAGTCATTTGAAGTTATTTGATTTTTTTTATTAAAATTATTTAAATATTTTTTAGATTGTATACTCTTTATTTGATATTTGATCATGTTGAGAGATACAATAATAAAGAAAAATATAGAAAAGTGCAAGTTTATAAAAAAATCATTAAAAGAACAATAGGTGTTCTCATAGTGTATAAAGTTTTTCAGCCTAATAATAAATACAGTAAAGACTTAGATTATTGTTTTAGAGAAGAAAATTATAGAGACCAAAAAGATAATATAAGATTTAATTAAAAAAAAATTTTAGTCTAAGAATTGACAACAGCATCAGAGAAGATCTAATCTTTAAATAAAATTTTATTTATAAAAAGATTTATTGTCTAGAGTTTTATATATTAATAGATGCAATAAACAGAAAATTATAAAAATAGAACTTACTAGTAAAATTCATAGTACAGATCAAAAAAGATATAAGATAAGTTATTTTAAATTTAAAGAAAAAAAATAAGTAACTAGTTTAGAAAGTTTCAAAAATAAATTAGATTTTTGTTAATATCTTAACAATTGGACTAATCAGCAGTTCTCAAGTAGCATTATGTCTTTATAAGTTAGAATACTAGAATGTTATATAAAAAGTTAATTACATTAAAAGCTGAAGTTGTTATATTGAAAATAGGATCTTTTGCAAAGCTCTTAAAACATTTATAAATAGATCTATATATAGACAATCAAAATACAATCAGTAAAATTCTAAAATAAGAAATGCTATCTTAGCAAAAAAATTTGTTAAGAAGTTGTAGATATTACTAGACAAATAAGATATATAAATAAATGAAATCTTTTGAGTTTTTTTAGAGTTAAATTTTGCAAATAATCTAACCAAAATGTTAGATATAGATGTTTGCTATTTAAGATAGTCAGTTTTTAATCTTTTTAAAAAAAAATAAAAGTTTCACTTAATCAATCATATGCCAGATTATCAAAACATGCTTAAATAGTAAATTTTATTGTTTAAACTTTAAAATATAAACTGCTTTACACAAGATTAATAAAAAAAACAATTATATATATTTTTCATTATCTTTGATTTATCATGTTATATAACATATAATAGAATAAGATGCTATAACAACCATAATTGTACCAAAGTAGGTCTCAACACAATGATGATTAATGTTGATGTATCTGCAAGTAAATCATATAGTCTTACTTCCACTTCAAATTATATTTATAAAGGATTTGTCAAAAGAGATAAAACTAATAAAAAGCCTGAATTGGCAATTTTTGATAGTAAGAATAAGCTAATTTTAGGATTGTTTGCAAGAACACAAATCTTAAAAAAAAAAGGTTTTCAAAAAATAGAAATTATCATTTAAAGTTATTGTGTTTTCATAGGATTGATAGCTTTAATATCTAGTATTAACATGCTTATTTCATTTATGGTTTGACTTAATTTAATGCTTTCATTTATAAGTTGCACAAATATTCTAGCAGCAGTCTCAAGAGAACATTTGAAACATTAGTTAACAGATCCTACTAAAGAATATAGAGTTAGAAAAATTTACAAAACATAATAAAGAAGCATAAGAAGAATAGAAACCCAGACTAGCTGCATGATCCTTTGCCAGTCTCTGCTCTAAGACATTTTATAAACTTCAAACCACTTCATATAAATAAGAAGTTTTTAGCCTGTAATACTACATTAGTAGCTGTTAAATTAAGAATTGTGTCACTCTAGGCAAATTATGTAAGTTAAAGCTTAAAGATATTAAGTTTAAAAAGAAGTTAGTTTGGGTCCATATAGGTTTTTTTAAAACAGATCAGTTTGCCAATGGGAAGTTTATTTCAATTGAACCCTCTAAAAATCATTACTGCCCAGTCAAGCTTTTAATTGATTATATGTTAATTAGACCAAAAATATCTGATGCTAAGTCACTTTTTTTGTCACAACAGGGTAAACAGCTGACAGTAGGTGCCATAAGGGCTGTCATTAAGAGGATGGTTAAGCTTGCAGGCCTTAAGGCAGATTCATGGCACACAGCATCAGAATAGGAATGCTACTGCTGCGATGGAAGCAGACCTTTCTTTAACCTAGATCTGTACTATAGGAGGATGAGACAGTAAGACTGTCATGCTTTATTTGAGATCTGTAGGGACAGCTAAAATGCAAATCTCCAGGAAGATGGGGTTTTGCTGAATATGATCCTCTTTTAATTCCCATATGTTTTTCAATAAAGTCATTTAATCAAACAATAATAATGAGGAGCCTGCCAATGAAGTGACAGGGTGATCATTATTGTGAGGTCAAATTACTTTTGATCTTCACATGTCAAACTTTGGTTGACCAATTGTGGGATCTTAGCTGTTGCTTGATAGTTCTTGTTAGATGCAGGTTTTTTATGATAATTTATGATCACATATGTTTATGAAAAGCAGTATTAATATGATAATTATGGAATGTTAAAGGAGTTCAGAAGTAAATTATATGGATATGGGTGTGAAATCAGAAGGAAGGAATATTGGTAACTTCCTGTCAGTGAGGGATATTTAAGGCCTTAGTTATTGTCATAAGAGTTTATCTTTCTCTTCACTATCGCTCACCTTGTAGAAAGGCTGGCTCTATCATTCCCTCCCATTTTCCGCCCCTTTATTGGAAATGGTGATGTCATAGCATGTTTCTTGTCAACCTACAGGATATAGTAGGCATTGATAGGCTCCGTGGCTGCAATGACAGTGCAAGGACCACCAAGAATGTATTTGGGCTCCGCGACTGTAGTAACAGTGCAAGGACCCTATAAATCGTATGGAGGCCTGAGGCTGCAGTAGCAGTGCAAAGGCCTTTATAGTATAATCTGGCTTCACGGCTGCAGGTGCAGTGCAAGGACCACTAAGAGATAGTTGAGCTTTAGAAGCAGCAACCCTTTCAAGATAAGTATATAACCGATTCTCTTTTATAGCTATACTGTCTTTTACCAAGCCTTCTTCACACAAGATTTAGCGTTTGTGAGATAGGATTAGTGTTGTTAGGCGAAACTATTTTTGGTAAATGGCGAAAGTCGAAACTGGCGAAACTCCGGCGAAACGTCGAAATGTCGAAACTTTGGCGAAACTCCCAGTAAAGCTAAAACTCTTGGAGAAAGTTAAACACAGCGTAGATTAATAATATTTTGCGTGTGGCCATTAAGCACAGCTGGCTTATATAAGAATGTACAAAAGCAATAAACAAAGTGATGGTCTT